TGGGGAAAAAGGTTCTCGAGTGGCAGCCTCGTACCGGTAGGCGAAGTGTAGGGCGACCCCCCACTAGATGGAGTGACGACCTGGTAAGACACGCAGGAGGTCGATGGATGCAGGTGGCTCAGGACCGTGCTTTGTGGCATATTTTGGGGGAGGTCTATGCTTAGCAGAGGACTTGTGAAGGGCTGTAATGATGATGATAATGAATTCGGTTAAAATCTTACTAAAGACTAAGCTACATTCTGACGCTCTTACAGTGAAATGTTTACGCTAATCATTGAAAAAAAATCTATTTGATGTTTTCCCAAATTACTTTACAGTCATCTTTTAGAATTTTTAACGTTGTCAAACACTAGCTGTGAAGTAGTGCGCTGTTTCGCCAGGATGCCAATATAAAGAAAACAAATGTTGAACAATCGACTAAATTATTTATCAATCCTTTCCATTTTTTCCTTTCATTTCCATTTAACAAAGAATTGACACTGCGATGAGAAAATAAAGGAATTAGCAGCGCAAAAATGTAGAAAGGTATTTATAGTTTATTTATCATAACTACACATTACCTGTTAATATATTATGCAATAATGTCTTACAGTTGCTGTTTATGTATCAAAGTCGTATAATTTTTTCCAGACCGTGTGAATACATCATTACAGAAAACATTTTTTTGACTTGATTAGTTTGATTAATTTGTTAGGGCCCCAACTAGTGTTAGCCCAGAGCCCCACAAATTCACGGTCCGCCCCTGATATGCATATGATGTTGTTAATTACATTGCAGGATTTGTGATCCGAACTTTGAAAAAAAAATTGTTTGTGAAACATGCACACGAAGTTACGAAGTATTAAATGATTATTTTTTGATATTTATCAAGGATAAAACTAGCTCAAAGTACAGTAAAAGTATGTAATAATGTCCTCCAGACCGAATTTCGGTCACGGCGGCCTGCCTCAACGGAGGCTAGCCATCGGTGCAGGACAGGATTATAGTGCCCAAGTATATGCGCAAGCACAGGTGCACTCTCTATTCCCTCACTCTCATAATCCGATGGGACGGTAAACCGACACGACCTGGAGAGAGATCAGGCGCAGGACCAACGTGTTTACGTGCTTTCCGAGGCACGGGGGTGAGATACCGCCAACTTCCTGACTTCGGGCAGCTACTGAGAATTTCTTGATAGAAAAACGCAATAATTGATTTTTGGCCCGACCCGGGATTCAAACCCAGGACCTCATGAACAGCATACGCACTACTACAACCACTAGACCAACGAGGCAAAAGTATTTACAGTATCAAAAATTTTTTACGGGAATTTAAATTACAAATTGGATATAAACTAATAGGACTAAACAAAAATATGACAAGGATAATTTTTAAAGTAAGTCTAGCTTTATTGTGCACAAATATATTTTCGGAATTGCATGAACACTCTATCGAAACTGACATAATGGAAAAAACTGAACTGGTTATTTGAATAAAAAATCATGAGTGCAATTAGTTTAATTTAAATTTTCGTATTTAAAAAAAAAACTAAAAAAGGGCTCGAAATAATAGATTTTCTGACAAAAGAAGGGAACTCGAAAAAAAATGGAAAAAAACAGACCAGAAACAGGACACGAACCAAGGCACTCTGATTTCGGGACTGCTCGACGTCTCACTTGAGCTATTACGATCGTTAATACACCGTCAAAATTTGCCTTCTTATATTGCAGCAGTTTTTTATTGCCTGAAAACACGGACAAAAGGCCATTTTCTAAAAATGAATCCTAGCTAGATCGATTTATTGCCCCCGAAACCCCCTGTAGGATAGTATATACGTGTGAATGCTATGGTTCAAATGCCTTATAAACTTTGTCTGAATTCTTTTCATTTGTTGTTTATGCGTAATATAATAGGGAGAACAAATACTACTAGCGTAATAAACACTTTTGATGCAGTTTATATCCGAAAAAAGTTTGCAAGTACGTGGAACAAACCTTTGACTTTTTAGCATTTTTGTATTATTGTATTTACATGTTTTGTCACAGCCAGCTTCTTGTCAAGGGTACCAGTTAGTATTGTTGGCGACGCGCCTATAAGAATATTTCAGTTTATTAAGTCAACCGATGACGAATAGCTTCTAAAAGGCAAATTGTCCAATAGCAATGTTCTAATAAGAAAATGCTTAGTTAAATCTTAAAGAATGTCGAATTAATGATATGAAGGTCTTGGGTTCGACTCCCAGGCCGGACTAGTTTATTGTTTTCTTAAGTAATATCTCTTAATAAATTCATATAGGGAATTTTAAGATATAAATTATGCTACCGGATTTGTTCCCCGGTTGAAATCATCTTTCCAATGATGTAAATTCAAAGGAATATTAAAGTGAAGTTAGAGATCGGATTGGTTCCCCGGTCGAGATGATCACTCTGTGCATAAATAGAATTAACGGAAATTAATTGCATAAGTATTGCCTTATATGAGTTTGATATGTTTTGTATGAAAATAAATGCCTATTTGCTATGATTGATTTATGAGAACATTCACTTATATTGTTATCTGTTAAGAAACATGATAACTGATAAGAATCTGATTAGAAATAGTTTCCTACAGTTTGAAAATTGTGTAGAAGCATTTATTCACCTAATACTGTCGATATTGGTGTATATTAGACTTTTCATTTTTTCTGATAGTCGAGAGCCGTGCAAAGTTAGTTGTTCAAATAGTGTGAGTTCACGGACGAACGCTAGCCACGCCCTTAGGAGGCCAAATATGTAAAAATTTAAATATTTGTAATTTCAGTAATTTATGTAAAAATGACTTGTAAAACATTTCAGGTTGATTGTACGTGCTAAAAAAGGTGAATTCTGTGTTATTTTTATGTGAAAATTCCTGTGTATAAGTGAAATAATGATAGTTTTGTATAAGAAATTTAAAAGTGTTTTAATAGTGCAATGAATAGAGAAAATGTAAATTAAACTGTTGTATTGGTTAACTTATGTATAATTTCAAGTGGAAAACATTGTTTTAACTTTCTATGTTAAATATTTAAGAAATTTCGACTTTGAACTTGTGAGTAAAATAGGCATATTTTGTTAAATAAATAAAAGGTTTTTTGTGATATGAAAATGTAATGTATATCGTAGTGTAGATATTGTTTTGTGCTATCTATACAGGTAAATTATGTTGATGTATGACTTATGCCAATAAAGTAATTAAGTAAAACGTGAGAGAGTAATAGAACAAATTCATGTAATTGAGTTGCCCAAGCGCGCGAATGGCGCAGCTCACTTTCGCGTATTGCTCTGGGGTAGCTCAGTAAATGAGTTTTATTGCAATTCGTTCGGGAATCTTTCGGGAAATGTTCGAGAAATAAGTACGAAAATCCTTCGGGAAAAGTGCAAGACCAGCAGTCAATAAGAAGAAAGAAAAAGTGTAGGGAAGTGATAGGGAAAAGTAATTACTCTCTCACGGAACGGTTTGAATATAATTGCTGTTTTATTCCCAAGAAATTCATCCCTCAAAATTATACAGTCCACATCGAAGAATTAAGGCGTTGGGACCGGGACGACTTGGGAAGACCCGTAATCCCCGTCTGAACCTGTTTGCTGAAAAGGAAGAGGTTATCGCCCTTGTGTGTTACTCCGTTGCGGAGATCACATACGTTGTTCCCGAACCCAACGTAGGCGTTATAGGAGGCCGGATCGAGAGAAGCCTCGATTCCTCCCTTCTGTTTCTTAGTTGAACGTTTACACACCATTTGGTTCCTTTTCAAGTATTTTCCAGTAAGTTACCAGTCATTTTTTTACACACCTTATAATGAGGGATATAAAATGCCGACTTATTTTCTTATGGCATTCTCTACCAGTTAACCTTGGACGATTTGAGAATCTGTGGCAGGTATAAAGATTTTACCAAGTAAGATAAGTAATATACATATAAGATACAGTAAACAATTTAAAAGTTATTTCAATACAGTTAAATTGGTATTATATTCTTTATAAAGAGCAAATAAATATTTTGTTTGAATTTTTACTTTGTTTTATTTTGCTCACACGTAACTAATGTAAAGCTGATCAAACGGCGTCGCCAAATTTGGAAAACAGAGTTTTTCTTAGTGGGTTTTGTGATATATTTTAACTTTGTAGCACGATCGTTCTGAACTACAAAATTCACCCAAATTTAAACAAAATTTAGCAAAATTGATTCTAAATCAAACGTTTTTAAGTTCTATCGCTGAACACTTCGTCCGTAGCAGGTCTTTCCTTAGTTGGTATCTGAAATTAAAATATATATTTATTTATTAAAATGTTGTATTTTATTGAACCTGAATAAGGCTGCCCTTTTCTATACTCACCATCACTTAAATTGTCTATGGTATATAAAAAAAGCTAATAAAATTAAAGTCGTATTTTTAATTACGAAAGCTACACGATGTTCGCGAATAATTTGTATAAAACGTATCGGAAAAAAATTAGATTATTAGATAACTTTATTTATAAAGAATAAAAACTTTTTACGCCGCGAGAAAGCAGCAAAATACGCTTTTGTTGTAAGATATTCTGAGAACATTGAAACCACTGCGAATCGTTTGCAAATTAATTACCGATTCTGTAAATATTTCATTTATTGCGTTATTCGCTATAGATACTGAGTAATAAAATTAATTATTTTTTCGTCAACTACTGTATACTAATTCGGGCGGTTCGTGTACTATATTGTATAAATCGTATCGGAAAAAAATTTGATAATTACGGAATCGTTAGAAATATTTGTAATCTCAAGTAAAAGCGTAGACAGAGAAACCTACTGTTATATAATGTACTCTGTGCCTACTGTCTACGAGTAAAAGTTTATCTGTCTACGCCTTTGAGCATAGAAAATAGGTCTACGCAATCAACATATTTATTATCTATGTCAGTTAACGTCAAGGCTCAGAGTTTTTGTGTATGGTCAAGGAGCAAGGAGGAGTGTTTTTATTTATTAACCCTTATTTAAGGTAAAAATTAAAAATCAGGATCATAATGTCGAATGTTCATACTGGTGAACTATTAAATTTTCAAGATTACTCTCCGGAACATAATGATCGAAGTGCGCGAATCGAAGTAGAAGCAGTACATACAAATCAATACATGTCAAATCCAAATTATGGTTTTGAAGAGCCCAAAAATGTAGATGAACCGGAAGCAGCACCACAAGGTTAGTTTTATAAATTATTTTACATTAGCTAACTGTATAGTATTTACTGTATCCGGTGTTGATGTGCTTTTTAGCAGGAAACCATAATTTTTGGACAATAGAGTACTATCAGAAGTACTTTGATGTGCACACCAATGAGGTGGTTGAGAGGATTATTTCTTCAGTTCTGCCTCAGAAAGTCTCCCGCAACTACTTTGATGAAAGAATCAAAGGGAAACCCGACTTATATGGGCCTATTTGGATATCTGTCACCCTTGTAAGTATTAGAATACTTGGTTACAGTTCATTATATAATCATCACATACGTTGACTATATGTTAACAGACAAAATAAGGATAAATTTTATTTACCTTTATCTAGAAATCAAATGATAAACTTTAGGGCAGTTTAAAGTAAATAGAAATCCCATGCAGTCGCATGCGCCCGGAAAATCCCGAGCGGTTGCTTGCGACCGCACCCACCCACAGCACTTAAAACCATTGAAACTTATATTTAGAGACTGCTTTTCTATGAAGAAGTTTGACATTATAAAATCTATACAAAATTCTCTATAAAAAGTCAGGTCAGTTTTTACTTCATTACAAAAAGTCAGGTTTTTACTTCATTACAAAATGACTATTGTATTTTTATAACAAGAAAAAACATACCAAGAGAATGTCGCCAGCATGAAAATCACAATTATTTCAATATATATTACTTGAAATTATTTACATCAAAAGATAAATTATATTCACACAAAAACTTTCATTACAATTTTATAATAAAACACTATACTAAAACACTAATTAAACACTAAAAAAAAATCCAAAAATCAACACAATAACATTCATGCGAAAATGGCGTATGTAATGAATGTAGATTATAAATAAATATCCATAGGATATTTATTTTTAATTTTTTATTGCACTAGAGGATAGAAAATTTTATATTGATTCTATCATGCCAAACTTCTTTATAGAAAAGTAGTCTCTAAATATGGTTTAAAGTGCTGTGCATGTGCACGGTCGAATCCAACTGCTTGAATTTTGATGGAATAGCGCCGCAGTTGAATTTGACCACTAAGAGATTGAAAGGTTAATTAATTGAATAAATGGATTAATAGGTATTAAGAAATTGATTTTTTTTTTTGGAAATGTTTGAAGTTCTAGAAGAATAGTTTGAAGGCATTTGTTATCAAACGAAAATCATCAGAGCAAGTTTTGCATGGGGATATATTCCAGAATGATGGACAATTGACAAAGTTCTATTTATACCTAAGGCTGGTAGAAAGGACTAAGCTTTACCAAAGTCCTTTAGACATATAAGCCTATCTTCCTCTCTCTTTAAGACATTGGAAAAGGTTACAGATAGATATATAAGGGATATAGCTCTAGCTATGAGGCCCATACATTACAACCAACATGCTTAACGCAGAGGCAAATCTACGGAAACAGCCCTGATCAGTGTCATTGACAGGGTCAAAAAAGTACTGGAGGATAAATAAATAGCTGTTTGTGCCTTTTTAAATATTGAGGGCACCTTCGACAGTAGCCCCACATCACTGCTGATTGGGGGCCTGACATCTAAAAATGTTGACCCCACTATCATCAGATGGGTGAAGTCGATGCTCTCAAACAGAAAGGCAAAAATAGCGCTGTTTCAAACTTCGATTGAGGTTGCAAATTCATAAGGCTATCCACAAGGAGGTAATTTGTCACCCCTTCTTTGGACTCTTGCAGTTGACCAACTATTGTACAAAATGGCAGAACTACGCATTGACACACTGGATTATGCTGATGACCTTGTGACCATTGCGAGGGGCTTTTGCCAAAGTACTTTATCGTCAATAATGCAAAGAGCCCTAAACACCATAAATAACTGGTGTAGGGATAACAGTTTATCAGTTAATGCTAATAAAACTGTTATTACCCTTTACCAAAAAGAGACAGTTGTACAAATTAGTCCAACCAAAACTTAATGGTAAAAAAGTACCATTTTCCAGGGAAGTTAATCTGTATGTTCGGAAGGCGACTTTATTCGATACGCCTGTTGGCTCGCGACGTAAAATGGCGGGAATTGCAAATTTTTTGCTAACTTGCAAATTTTGCTATATTTTCACTTTGAGACAATATTTATGGATAAAACTTACAGGGATTCTTATTAAATGTATAAACTATTGAATAAAATTATTTTTAGTTGCTAGAAAGTGTAATAAAATTCATAAATTACCCTTTGTAGCATAGTAGTAGTAGATACTTCACTTTTAGTGTAAAATTATTACTAATTTGAATTCTACACATTTGTTTTTGGAGAAATCTATATGAAAATGATTGGAAATATGTATATTTTTATGTTTTATATGTTTCTATTCGTTACTCATACCAAAATATAAAATTAAAAAAAAACGGAATTAATTTTTATCTGTATGAGATTTTCGAACAATATTTCAAATATATTTTTGTCTGAATTTGAAATAAATACAACATCAAGGTATTTGAAATATGTTATAAAACAATTTTTTAGTTACATTTTACACTAAAAATAAATGAGAATTGGAAAAATAACACATTTTGACCCAACAGCTAAAATGGGCCTTCTCGATTTCAAAGTAATTTTGGCACTTACTTTTTATGCCACAAATTATATATCTACATGTTTGTTTTATTACAAGGAATACACAAAAGTATAAAACTCACCTTTTTATTTCAAAAACACACAGAAAAACGGAGAAATCACTCAGAAATAGCTTACACGCTACTGGTGTAAGAAGCCATTACGTCAGAATGATTTTTATGTTTGTTTTTAGTTCGAAATTGACAGATTATGGTACCAAATTAAAGAGTATGTCTTTGTCTATATCTGTATTATACATTTCAGTATAAATTTGTTATAATTTTTAATGACTAACCTTTTTTTGTCGGGTTCGCCTTCATAAATTATTAGTGGACAAATGTGTACCATTGCCGCCTAACACAACGCCCTCCGCCGAGCGGGCGGAGGGCGTTGTGTTAGTCACATGTGTACCACTGTCGAGCGTACTGGAGTACTTGGGCCTAACAATCAACCAAAAACTAACGTGGAACTCTCACCTTAGCAACGTGTGCCATAAGGCAAAAATTGCTTTATGTGCAGTCATTTGGTCAGGAACAACTGGGGCTTGCGACCCAGTATGGTCCTATGGCTGTACAGCAGCATAGTGAGGCCGATTCTCACCTACGCCTCTATTGTCTGGTGTAACAAGGCCAACCAAAAGATGACTGTGGACAGACTAAATAGTCTACAAAAGACTGCCTGCTTAATGGCAGCTGGAGCTATGCGATCATTGCCTGGAGTGGCTCTTAATGCACTTCTATGCCTAACGCCCCTTAATCTTTATCTAGACAAGGAGGCGAGAGCTAGTTTGTATAGAATTAACGCCCATGGAGGTCTGAACTTGCTCTTCTACAGATTGAGATCCATGCTCAACTCAATTAAGGAATCACCAGTCTAATGCATGGTCTCAGATATCATGCGTCCACTACACACTTTTGATAAAAAGTATATATTGGAATTACCGTCCAGAGAAGACTGGCTGAACGGCCGGGTTATCTGTGAGGTCGGTAGCCTCATATGGTATACCAATGGGTCTAGAATGGGTCTCGACGTAGGCTTTAGAATTTATGGGGAACGCCCCAAATTCATATTGATTTGTATGAGTATTGAGTATGATTTTGGTAGAAACACATCTATCTTCCAGACAGAAATTTTTGCCATACTTCGGTGTGCAGAAATCAATCTGCAAATATACTACTAACCATATAATTTAAATAAACTCTGATAGTCAAGCAGCACTGCTTGCGCGGAGACTGCGTGAACCGTGTAAATGCCCTGGGATGTGACAACAGGATCGTTTTAAGATGGGTTTCGGGTCATGTGTGTATTGTAGGCAACGAATTTGCCGACAAACTTGAATGGGAGGGCTTAAAGTGCACACAATTTAGACCTGAGCCTTTTTGTGGAATCTCAAGAAGCCTAGCGCAATTGACCCTGAAAACTCTTTATCACAATAAAGCACTTAAGATTTGGTCTGACACACCAGGCTTAAAGCATTCTAAAGCCTTAATCCGTGCTTTTGATCGCAAATTCGCTTCAGAAGCCCTGATATTAAGTAAAAATAAATTGCGCATTCTGGCAAGAGCCCTAACTGCACTGTTGTCTTAAAAAGCACATGTCCATCCAGGGACTAAGCAACTCAAGGATGTGTCGGTTCTGTTCCATAATGGAAGAAACACCTCCACACATTCTAAGTGATTGCAGACCCTTAATGCGCAAACGCAACACTTATCTGGGAAACTATTTACTCCACCCAAAAGAAGTGAAATTGCTCACGGCTAAGCAACTCCTTCTAATCATTGAAGACATAGGGCTTAGCCATGAACTATAGCCATAGCAGCTATCACAATAGATCTTATAGGTTGCAGTGATACTGGTCTCTTTCCCTAGACCTGCATAGCTGCTCGCACATTAAAAAAAAGATCTTTCTGACATTTCTCAAAATAGCCTCTTACCTTTGCCGTAGGTGCCTAGGTATAGTAGGTGCTGCATCAACTGAAACCTAGCAGTTCAGATGGACAGGGGCATTATCATGATGAAGAAGCACTTCAGCACACAATTTTTCCCGTTGTTTATTCTTTAGTTCTTCACATAGTTTTTTTTAATTAATGAGCATAATAATCTCCGATTATTGTTCTGCTTTAATTAAATAGTCGATCATTTTTATACCTTCTTCATCCTAGAAGGCAGAGACCGTTATTTGACAGACAGGCACCTTGAATCTCTTAGCTGGCAGGGAAAACGGTCCTTTCCACACCTAGCTTTGGTGTTTCGACTCCATATCAATGTTGTGTTTCATCTTCGGTTACAAAACGAGTGCAAAAATAATCTGTATCTTCTTTCTTCAATTATTTCAAATGTTCCGCCGGATTTAAATTCAGTTGACCAGTACTGACAGACTGTACAATAAAACCGAGTATTTTCTGCAAAAGAAGACTGCACTTCTTCAAAAACAGTTTTTGTAGAACCAAATTTTCAAACAGAAATATTTATTAACCGCATGAAATTTGGGATTTTCACTTTTGCAAGCGTTCCGTTTCCCACTAAATATCAAGGTTGAAAAAATAGGGTGTAGTTTTTAATTCCGTTTTTTCTCGCCTTGGCTATTAACCAACTTAGTTTAGTTTAGTTTGCGACGGGCTGTTTTCCGCAACTCCACGTCTATGCGCGTATTTTGCGTGTGGG